TGAAAAACAACTACAGAGAAAGGTTGTATATAGTACCAGTAGGCAGCCACAACAACTTTGAATAAGAATGTTGCCAATGCTTCTGGCTTCAAATTCCACGGCACATCAAGTGACCATGGAAGGTGTTGAATCATGGTCCTTTATTTCCTCGCGATTTTCATTTATTTTTTGAATTTATATTCTTGCCTATATATATGACCATAACAGTGGAAATCAAAAAAAAAAGTCAAGGAGAACCATTTAAATATTACCCAAATTAAACAGCAACAAGTGCAAGTTAGTCCTTAACAGTGAAAAGGTGGTGCAATGCAAAATATGAAGATATGATATTTATTTTTTTTGTAATTAAATTTTAAGTTGATAGCTGCACTAATCCTTCATGGTTATGCCATATGGCGTATCTCAGGTCCACTAATAGCTTGCTGAGAATATTGTTGAACAAAGTCCAATGTGAAACAATACATGCATGTATGTCGCATCATATTTGAAGTTGGTTGATTAACCCATATTCCTTACTTAGGTCAAGTGAAATGCTTGAACATGATGATGTGTTTGAGGAACAGAGGGATCATATTCAACAAAGAGCAAAAAGAAGAAGCTTGACACTATCACTCCAATTCTATATATACAACAATACCAATTCTCTGCTAAAGTAACCTATAGCATATGCCACTATACTCGCTGTGTAAAATTTATAGCAGTTTGTCATTATCTTGCTGTGTGAAATTTATAGCAATTTGTCATTATCTTTACCTAAATTGCTTACTCTAAATCAATTCAATGGTTAGGAAAATAATTATTCACTTAAAGATTTTGCAATATTTATTCTTTATGCTTAAAAGATATTGAATAGTTTTATTATTATACAAAGATAGCTAGTTGCATTACTGTATTAGTGAAAAGGAAATAGATCAATGATACCTGACATAAAGAAAAGAATCAAAGTGAGGGAAATTTGAGCAGTATTTGAATAGTTTCGATGTTACTCAATAGCATTAAAAGACCACCAAATACAAGTCATAATGTCCTATTTGTACTCAAATTTTATCTAGAAGGGGGGTTCTCCTTCTAAATCCCGTCAACTTTCTCTTCTACCAACAATTTCTTCAAAGATTATAAATTAATAATCGACACTTTCTATGTAACAGACCATTTTAATTTGGCTTAGTGTTGGTATTAGGAAAAATGTCCGTAATAATTTATATAGTTTATATGTTTTGTTAAATTTAATGATAAAAATTTTTTTAATTAAAAATTCTTGTTCACTTCTAAATTTTTTAATTCAGTAATTTCTTGTTCTTTATTGGATAATTGCTTTTTCAATGTTTCAATTTCATTGATTAGTTCTT